GTGATGGCGAGTATTCTACCACTGAGCTACATCCTGGCTAAAAAATTATCTCTTGGTATATCTCTAAACACTCAAAACTTCTGAACATAGGCTTTTGAACAGTTGCTTGTTTCTTTTGAACAGTTTCTTATTTAAGGACACACTAGGTAGATGTATTTATTAATTCTATTTTTTAAATTTAGGTTATACACACTTGTATTTAGGGGCTCTGAGCCCAGTGGAGCATACATGGTGCTAGGAATCAAAATGCAGTGGGTCACATGCAAGGCACGCAACTTAACCTCTAAACTATCTCTCAATTAATTATTGGGCTTCTTTGGTGTTGGAGTCATAAAATAAAGTACAGTATGAATCCATAATGAAGTAGAGAAAATAGAATTATATAACACATGAACAGTTTCCTGAAACCATTTCCATCCACCACACTTGCTAGATTAACATGCTTTCTGGTGTGCTGGGAAGTGTAGTTTCAGTGAAAATCTAAGGTGTACCAATCTCTAACTCAAAGGATTTTCTTCCAGAAATATATATAGAAACAAAAGACTGAGCAACAGCCATGACTTAAATTAGGAGGGAAATGTGGTACTGAGAACTGGTTCTGATGGGCTTCTTAGTATGTTTTCTAATTATTTTTCTGCATTATAATACAGATTTAGAATTCTAGTATATGTTGGGTAGATTTAGAATTACTTCTGCTCATGTGAATTTATTCCATTTTAAATGTAATTGATAGCCACGATTGTTTTAAAACTGTAATATAAAGTCAGGATGTTCAATGGAAATAATAGTTTGTTCATTTTTGAGATATAACTTAAATGAATAATGGATTGGAGAACACTCCCACTACAGGAAGCTTTAAAAATGCTCTCTTACCCACAGAGTATTCATTGCATCAAATTCCACTAACATAAAATAAAAATGTAATACTGAATTATGATGACTTGAAATTCAACTTTTCTACTAGCGGAGAATTTACTGTGGCAAATAAAGAGTAGTAATGCTCATTTTTATTTTACAATTTCATGGAAAAAAATGAGAAGTACTTCCTAAGAAGCAGGTTAAAGTGCAATTTAAAACAACGTTTTTAGAAGTGTGAGTTTAGTAATACTGAATTTTAAAGCATTTGATTTTATGTTGTGAAGGGTCACTACAGGGGAAAAAAAAACACACAAAAACCCAGAACTAGGACAAATCTTGCCCTCAAGTTCTCACTTGTAAATCCCACTGAAGCTAATGGAAAGTTTATAGAAATACCTGAAAGGCACACTTGTCCTAGTTCAAAAGCTTTACTAAATTATTATTTTAATGCATTGCCCTAGTTTAGTCTTGTCTTTAAGGTCCTCCTAACATTGTTTTATCTAAGGTTCATTCATAACATACTCAGAAAAAAAGAATAGGCTAACAAAGGAAACTGACCTTTTATTCAATTTCAAACTTTGACTTCTTAACCTCTCCCACCCCATTGCTGAGGAAAGGGGCCAAGGGAAGACATTCTTGGGTTCAAGGAATTCTCTGTCGTTTTTATTTTCAATATAGTGGAAAGTTAAAACAAATACAAGTTGTATAATTCTTATACTCATTTTGGGGGAATTTAGCCTCTGAAAGTAAACTATTTACAGGTAGTGGTGTCCTGCTGTTATATTTTGAATTTTTGGCTTCATAATCTGAGGGTTATTAAATGTTATTAAAGCTGGATTTTGTTAGTGCAAGGTAACTTCTAAATTCCTGGAACTTTTATTTACTAAGCATCTATCTTGTCCTGCTTTAAAAAATGCATGGACTGGTCCTGGAACTGGTACAGTGGCTAGGGCACATGCTTAGCATGCACTCCACCAGGTTTCATTCCTGGTACCACAGGGTTCCCTAGCACCTTAGGCTCCAGCCCTGGAGGTCCCCAGCACTGCTGAGGTCACCAGCACAATCCCTGTCGCTCTAGGTCTTTATATTTTAGCCTGATTCTCCAAGAACTGCAGGTGGGTCCCAGGGTCCTTCTGAGCACCATTTGGGAGCTCAGGAAAGGAAATGCATCAGTGTGACTTTTTAAGGGTATCTGATTAAATTTCTGGGAAAGCGGGGGCAAAGCATCCTACCATGAGATTTTACTGGGCCCACTCAAGCAAATCAATGAACAACAGGAGGCCAGTGCTACAGTGCTACAGTTATTAAAGAAATTCATCAAAAGAAATGTACATAAACATAAAACAAATGTCATAAAACATGTAGACTTAATTTTAAACACCCTCCATTCACTTTCATACTATCTTTGCCAACTGAATGCAAGGGGGACAGCTGCTAACTGATGAAGGAGCCAGGGACAACGTTCTCTGCTGAAAAGTGAACCTTTGTCCTGGAAGGAAATGCTGGACTATAGAACCTGGATGGATTGAATTCAAATGTCCTGTAATTTAAGAGCTATGAGAATTCAGTTTAGTTTAGTCTCTCTGGGTCTGCTAGCTGAACCCTAATTAATAAACACAATTAATTTTGTGAGTGTTTAAGAGTTTTGTGAGCATTTAAGAGTTCAATTTTTTTTTTGTTTGTTTCTTGTGGGCCACACTCCGTGATGCTGTGCTTACTGCTGGTTCTGGACTCAGGGGTCATTCCTGGCTGCTCAGGGGACCCATGCGGGTACAAAATCTAATCAGGGTTGGCCACATTCAAGGCAAATGTCCTACCAGCTACACAATCACTCTGGCCCCATCAAATACCTTTTGACGAAATATTGTCTTTACCTTACTTCTCTCATGGGTATTTTGTATCACTATATTATCACTGTCATCCTGTTGTTCATTGATTTCCTCAAGCAGGCACCAGTTAATGTCTCCTTTGTCCTAGCCCTGAGATTTTACAAAGTGCCATATTTGAGGTTCTTTCAGGGTCAGGAGAATGGGACCCATCATTGTTACTGGTTTTTGGCATATTGAATATGCCACGGGGAGTTTGCCAGACTCTGCCATGCAGGCAGGATACTTTCGGTAGCCTGCTAGTTTCTCCAGAGAGAGAACTAGATAATAAGAATGCGGCCACACACTTCTGGGAGCTGGGTTTTATAGTCTATGGGTCTTGGCCACTGATGAGATTTCACGGTGGGGGGGGGCAGTTGGCGGGTGTAACGCCTACATACTGGAAGATGGGGGATCTGGGTGGAGGAGGCCCAGTCCCAATTCGAGCAGCCTTGGAGATCTAAGCCCCGGGCCCTGCACAGAGCCGGAGCAGAGTCCCGGCAGCCGAAGACCTCTGATTCCAGCCACAGCCATGCTTAAGACCACTCTCCACATGTTCAGACAAGCCTCACGCATGAAGGAACCGGCAGAGGAACCCAGCTGTGCAGATATTTTGTAGTTAAGTACTATCCCTTAGGTTTGTCTAAGCCCAGTTGTTCAACCTCCATTGAAAAATGTCAGGGGACATGGATGAATGGGAAAGAGATAGGAGGAGATGCGCAGATATAAAAGCAGAAGGGAAGCTTCAGTCAAGTGTCCCTGAGTTATCTTAATCACTAGCATTATGTCTTTTCTTTTCTTTTTTTCTTTGCTTTTTGGGTCACACCTGGCAATGCACAGGGGTTACTCCTGGCTCTGCACTCAGGAATTACTCCGGGTGGGGCTCAGGGGACCATATGGGATGCTGGGAATCGAACCCCAGGTCGGCCACGTGCAAGGCAAACACTCTAGCTGCTGTACTATCGCTCCAGCCCATCACTAGCAATTAATTCACAAAAAGGAAAAGGATGTCTTATTCCACAAAAGGATGGAGCCCTTGGTTACATGATCATTCGGAATCTTGGACCAGCGGTACATTCACATAAGTGGTGGGTGGCTCTGGGGCACGCCAGCAACGGCGGTAAGACTGGAGACGGGGAACAAAATCAATGCTCCACTGCCACTGCCTGATTCTCTCAAGTGTCTCAAGACACTCACTGGAAACATTCCCAAAACATAGTCAAGAGAGGAGTGATGGTCTAATATTTCTCTTGTTGATAGGCCGAGCCCCTGATTCCCAACCCCCCAAGTTAGCAAATCCTCAAACATTTCCTCCCTTGTCTGTTACAAAACACACATTGTGCTGGCAAGTGGCGACACAAAGACGATGATGACGTGCCTTACCTCGCGTCCCTGCCTGGCCGTTCACCGGGCCAGAATAATTTTAAGACCAAGTGGGCAGGGAAGAGGTAACACAGGTCGGGCCTCGGACACTGAGGAGAGGATGGCAGGCGTCTAGCCCGGCGGGAAGACTCTTGAGAGCAAGACAATGAGTTTGTTTGACATCTACCTCTGCAACTTTTAACTACGATTCTCAGAAACCCAAGACACAAACAGACACAGATGATGCCCGGCTTTGAAAAACAACGGACCCGCCTCGGTAAGGCGTGAGCTTTGAACCAGCGCGCTCTCATTTCAGCAAGGTCTGCCTATTGGGAGTGACACACTTCTCTGTCGGGGTCACCTCGGTGTCTTGGGGGAAAGATAGCTGGGGCATGCCCCAAGGCAGGCCAGAAAACACACGCTCTCTCCCGGGAGAAGCCTGCACGCGTGTGTGCACGGGCCCTGCTCCCGTGCCCCGCTCCATCCCCCACCTGGTGTGTGTGTGTGGGGGGGGTCAGCCAACGCTCGCGAGAACCCTCTTGCTCGCCCCCATGTGCCACGTTCCAAAAGAGCGCGATCGATTGGAAAGCCCGGGAGCAGCTCGCCGCGTTCCCGGGCGGCGGCGGCTGCAGCGGCGGCGTCGGGGCTACCACAGCTCCCACAACCCGTGCGCGCACAGCGGGAGATTGGGGGCCAGGGTTCCGCCTCTTTCAGGGGCGTCCCCGTGATTGGCTCCTGGGCGCCGTCACTCAGCCTACCGCGGGCGGGGAGGAGGCGGGGTCCGGACGGGAAGGGGCGTGGCCTCCCTGGCCGGCCCGCCGCGCTCAGGCGCCCGGGGGAGGACTCGCGGCTTGGGCGCACGCGAGGCTAAGAGCGCACGGAGCCCCCGGCGGCTGCCGCCGAGTGTCCACCCGGGTGCGGCGGGCGGTGCCGGAGCACGGGCTCTGCTGCTGGGGCCGCGGTCCTCTCCGGCCGACCACTCCGGAGTTCTCTTGCGTCTCTGATCGCCCCCCCAGCCCCTACACACACCCAGCCTCCCTCCGCCCCTCGCTCGCCCGGGCTGTGTGCGTGAGATGGCCCCGCGGAAAAATGCCAAGGGCGGCGGTGGCAACAGCAGCAGCAGCGGCTCGGGCAGCGGCAGCCAGGGCTCCGGCAGTAGCGGCGGCAGCAGCGGCAGCAGCAGCAGCGGCGGCAGCAGCGGCAGTAGCAGCAGCGGCGGCAGCGGCAGCTCCGGGAGCCGGAGAGGTTAGAGGCGCTCAGGGATGGGAGGCCTGGGGACCCCCAGATCCTGGGCCGGCCCCTGGGGGTGGGGCCCGGGCGCCGCGCTCCTGCTGGATTGCCTCTTCCCAGGTCCCGAGCTGCCCCTGCATTCATCCTCCGCGTCCCTCCTCTGGGCGCCAGGCCGCGCGTGTTTGGCCTGGCTGGCGGGTTGGAAAAGGGCCTCCTCGGGATCGTCTAGACCGGGAGCTCCTTCCCTGCACGCCTCTCACCTGCAGGGCGCACCCGAGATGGAGGTTTTGTTGACTCACACTTTCTGGGGCTCTCGGTGCAAATGAAGATGGGAGCTAAGAGAAACGATCCCCCTTTTAACCTTTGCATCTTTGGCGGGGGGAGTGGAGTTCGAACGTGAGCCAAAGTGAGGGAAAAAAAAGTTCTTGCCGGACCAGGAGCTTTTAAGAGCAATTTAGAGAACTACTTGGGGCGGGGAGAAGGGTTGAGGGGGCGTTGGAGAAGAAAAAAAAGGAGTATTTGAGTGTATTTCGAAATTATGTAAAATATTCTTGCCTTTGTAAAGCTTTTTACATATGCGTCACGGATGACAGAAGTATCTTAGCATACATACCATAGAACGCTGAGCTTATTCCCCTTCCCCCTTCTTAAAAATTCCTGTCCCCTTTGCTATTCACCTTTCTCCTCTTGCACTACCCAGCACGGAGGGAGAACAGATGTTCGAAATCTGTTTCGTCTCTTATTTCAGTGGGTCTGGATTTCTTACACTGACTTAGAATATTAAACTGCAGTATATGTGGTTATTAGAAGTGAGCTGCACCTCTTACAATTGGTCGTTTTTGCCTACTGAGATTAATATTTATTCATATATATCAATTACTTAGATAATTGTCACTCTTCAAGGAGCTGTTTTTTTCCCTACAGCACTTAATTGCTACCTGAGTTTATTTTTGCACATCTTGTCATTCTCTTTATTCCTCTCCTTGTTCATCTTTGTTTCCAGTTTCTAGAATGTTCTCAGCCCATACTAAGTGCTCAATAAATATTTGATTTGTGACTGGGTAAGTTAAAGTATTGCAAGAAAGTCATTGCACACATTTACATTAGAACTAATATTGATATTGTAAATGGAAAAAGATACACACAGTTGGAAGTTAAAGCCAAGCTTGCTAATTCATCTTTGACATAAAGTAAGTTTGTGTTCTTTCCTCACTTGGCCAAAAAAAAAAAATAGTCACTTATTTAAACAGGCAGAAAAGTCATCTCTCAGACAGTTTTGGCTACACTTTTTTAGTTTTTGAGAAGAGTCCTTAAGCAGTTCAGTAGAACAGAGAAAGCTCATGAACAAGATGGTAATGGTAATTGTTTCAAAGGATCCCTATAGTTATTTACCCTGCCCACTGCTGCTCAGTGGCACAGAGGACTGGTTACATCTGAGCTGCTCACTTTGTAAGGGGTGATATGGGTAGGAATTAGTATTGGGATATCACTGTATCACTGTCATCCCATTGTTCATCAATTTCCTCGAGCAGGCACCAATAACGTCTGCATTCGTCCTCTCTCTGAGATTTTAGCAAGCCTCCACATTGGAGGCTATGTCAGGGTCAGGGGAATGAGACCCATCATTGTTACTGGGTTTTGGCATATGGACTATGCCACGGGGAGCTTGGCAGACTCTGCCGTGTGGGCAGGATGCACTCGGTAGCCTGTCGGGTTCTCCAAGAGTGAGTACTTGACAATAGGAGATCACGCTTGCAGCCACATGCTTCCGGGAGCTGGGTTTTATAGTCCCTGGGTCTTGGTCGTTGATGGGATAACATGGCGCCAGGGCAGTTGGTGCGTGTAAGGCCTAGCTACTGGAAGATGGGGGATCTGGGTGGAGGAGGCCCAGTCCCAATTCGAGCAGCCTTGGAGATCTCAGCCCTGGGTCCTGCACACCTGGGTTCCTCTGTCGGTTCCTTCATGTGTGAGTCTCATCTGAATGTGTGGAGAGTGGTCTCAAGCCTGGCTGTGACTGGGTTCTGTAGGTCTTCAGCTGCCGGGGCTCTGCTCTGGGCGGGGAGGGAAACTCAACCCGCCCCTCTGCAAGGGGCTCCTGTGAAGACAGCCGGGCGCAGGAGCAGGAGACTCTACGCTGTTCTCTTCCCAGGTGTTGGGGATCAAATCCAAGTCAGCCATAGGCAGGGCAAGCACCCTACCCACTGAACTATGACTCCGGCCCTTTAGGTAGAGTATTTCTACAGTTCATTCTGACTCTGCACCGTATTACACCAAATTGTTTAAGAAGAGAGTGTACTTTTATTACCGATTACTTTTGTTTTCATTTTTGGCGCCACACCTGGCAGTGTTCAGAGCTGGTCAGCACTTACTCCTGGCTCTGCACTTAGGGATCAGTTCTGGTGGGACCCGGGAGTGGGGCACAGGACTATAGGTGGTCTGGGACATTGAAGGTCAGCTACATGCAAGGCAAGTACCCTATTCACTCTACTAGCACTCCAGCCCACAAATTATATTTTCTTTAACTGAAATTGTATTTGAAACGGTCTTTGAAAATTTTAACTCCAGAATAAATAAATACATGGCCTCAGTTTTCTAAGACATTTTGCAGATGATGACATTGGTCCTGTTAATTATGACTCTTTCTTCTTTTTTTTTTTGTTTTTGGGGCCACACCCAGCAATGCTCAGGTTTCTCTTGGCTCTGCTCTCAGGAATTACTCCTGGAGGTGCTCTGGGGACCATTTGGGATCGAACCCGGAAAGTATGATTATTTTTTAAATTTATGTATAAAAACATGGGTGAGAAGGGCATAATACTCCTTTGAAGCATGCAATTTAGGGAAAAGTTTGCACACATATTAAAAAATGTTTGCCTTCTGTATTTGTTGGTGATAATTTCGTTAAAAAGTGATGCTTAGAAACTGAACTTTACTGTTTTGAAAATATTTAGTTAGAAAGGTTCGCGATAGTCTTTTGGACTGTTTTTGTTGAATTTTTTGTTTGTGTTATTTTTCCCTTTCAGTATCATTCATGGTTTCACTGTGTGTCTTAACAGGGCAACAGGGAAGTAAGCATGTGCTTTTGTCTGAAAGCATTGCACTACTTCTTCATTTCACTTAGCCGATAGGTGTCGCTATAGTATATGCTTCTCTCCACTTTGAAGCTGCAAGTGATGTGCCATCCAGTCTTTTTTAATTTGCTCTGTTCTCCAAAAACACACTCAGAACGATTGATTGATGGACAACTACAAAAACCTCTTAGCCACTATTATTTATTTCTATTCTCTAACAGTATATATTTGAAATTTAGTAATCAGAGTTTACTCAATAACTTTGTTGATGTAGGCTTGTTTATTTTGAATTAGCTGCATTCATGAAGGTAAGGTAAAGGCCCTCCCGTTGATCGTCGATTTGCTCGAGCGGGCCCAGTAACGTCTCCATTGGAGACTTTGTTGTTACTGTGTTTGGCATATCAAATACTCTCAGTAGCTTGCCGGGCTCTCCGGTTGCTCTAAAACTTAAACTTTTTCATATTCACTTTGTGGTTATTAATCACTTCTTTTTTTATCTTTTAGATGCCCTAGCAATGAAAGAAAATACACTATGGATTGCTTATAGGGTTACTACTGAAAAGGCCTTGGTGAAATTCCCTTTCTCTGGCCAGAATTAATCAGTTAGGGCCAGTTACTTAATCCTCCATTAGTCATTCTAGGATGAAAACAGGGGAAGGCCTTAATTCTTTCTCTTTTAGACTGTGTGCTGTTTTGTGTTCATTTAAACAGCATTTTGTTCAGCCTGTCAAGATTATGTGAAACTACATTATTTAAAAAAAATGAGGGATTTCTTGAACGTATTTTACAGAGGTGACAAAGGGTCAGGGAGATAGCTTAAGGGACTGGAATGTGTGCTTTGTATGCAGGAATCCCGGGAGACCCCCAGCCCAGAGCAATCCTCAGAGCACTACCAGGAGTGGTGAGACCCCACCAAGCACTGCTGGGTATGACATTTCCTCTTACCCCCTTTTTACTAAATAAATAGATAGGTCAGGCATACTAACCTCTATTGGGATTTACTAAGTACAAAGAAAAGCCTGTATTTTAATATTTAGTTTTAAGATCCTGTCAGATAAGTAGAACATGAGAGACTGTGATTTTCAGCTAATTTGCCAACAATAACTTGGATAAAGATTCATGTAGACTATATCACAAATCACAAACACGGCAGAGTCTGGCAAACTCCCCGTGGCGTACCCAATATGCCAAATACCAGTAACAATGATGGGTCTCATTCTCCTAGAAGAGCCTTGAATATAATCTCAGGGCTAGGATGAAGGAGACGTTACTGGGGCCTGCTCGAGGCAATCGTAGACTATATAATCTACCTTTTATTTGTGTCAGAAATGTAATCAGGGGCTGGAGTAATAGCACAGCGGGTGGGGCATTTGGCTTGCATACGGCTGACCTGAGTTCGATTCCCAGCATCTCATGTGGTCCCCTGAGCACCGCCAGGAGTTGTTCCTGAGTGCAGAGCCAGAAATAACCCCTGTGCATTGCCGGGTGTGACCCAAAAAGCAAAAAAAAAGAAGAAAAAAGTAAACAACTTGCGTTTTGGATATTTCTGGTACCCCGAGCTTTCAGATCTCAATACAGTAAACTTTTGTGGTTTTTTTGTGGAACGACCTGGATTCCTGTTAAAAACATTGTTGACAAGTGAAGTCAATAGAGATCTCAAGTAGGAAGAACTGTTTTCTCCTTTTTGTCATATTTCTGAGATCTTTGCGTTGAAGTACATTTTGTTCACTGCTCTTGGGCATTGAATCTGGGGTCTCAAATGTAAGGCCAGTGCTCTTCCCTGGGGAAACAGCTTCGCTTTCTCATCTACATTCCCATTCTTTCCCTAAATCACTTTTAGTAGGAAAACATGCTTTATTTAAAGCATTTTCATAAAAGTCTGGGATATGAAATGGCATAGAGCTAAGCAGACTATTCCTCAATATACTTGAGTACATATTTAATAAT